TTGGGTTTAATTTGACAGATTTTCTGCATCATCACCACCCAAGGTTCATTTATTCAGTAGTCGTCATAAAACTTGTATTAACTATCGATGGACTCGAACACAATGGTGCATACATTGTGCATTTTCATTGTGAATGAAACACAAAGTCAAGAGTTTTTGCAAGTTATGCTTAAGTTTAAATTTGAAATTGATGATACTATGAGGTTATTACGAGGATAAGTATGCATGAAAACAGTACAACGAGAATGTCGACCGACACGCAGCTGAAGTCGATGAGACGGCATACTGTTCGGGTGCATATTTTGAAGTATCCTACCAATAACATTATTATACATCTTTTCCTTCCAAGAATACATCATGGGAATGCCGAAATCCAGAAAGTTTAGAACAGAATCAGCAAACTTCTTTGTGCGGGGTCTGGTCAAACCCTGGTGGCAGCCATATTTGTTTTTATTATTAGAGAACACTTATGTGCGTAATCATTCCATATTTGGAATTCGCATTTCCTTATTTGGTAGGATGAAAATACCCCGTAAAATAGTGCAAAATTACGGCACACTGTGACAGATGTATAATAATTGTTGTTACAGTGACATTGATAAATCCAACTAATTGGTCCACCCAATTAAATACAGCTTTTCCTAACACGAAATGGAAGGTTGACTTCAGCAAAATCATGCAAATGGAATGATTTTCTGCTACAGTTTAATAAAAGTGGAATGTTTTATCAGTTTTATGTTCAAATGTTTTATAGTTTTTTTTAAATATATATATAGACCAGAACAAGTAAAATTAATGCTGTTTCATCAACTAACACATCAACTTGAAATGATAGCTGTTGATTTAATTATATCCCAGAGAGTGATTAAAAGGGTTCATTGTAAATACAGCTAAAATTTATTTCAATGAACGAATCACTGTAATTTCAAGCTTCCAAATAAATTTGATAGAATCTATTTTTCACATTCATGTCAGTAAATTGTTCAACGATTGAAGGGTTCCTGCAAAGAAACATGGCTAATGGTCGTTATGAAGCATCTTTGAATTTGAATGAAGTTTGAGGATCTTATTAACACTAATAATAAAAGTTCACCACTTCATGAAACCATAGACCCTAGAGGGTCTATGATGAAACCCAGTGTATAATTATGATAAGTTAATCAACTAAGCACACTATTTACAGAAAGAGAAGGGTAAAATAACTATTTAGAGAGAATCCCATGTTATATTCTTTATTTTGACTTATCTGATTCGCAGGCTTCTTACAGTTCATTGTAGTTGGTTCAAGAATACATAATAATCATTTTTTCAAATAAATGCACCTATTAGTCCCAGAGAAGCAGATTTTTTTTTTTAACATTGTTTAATCCCCCACCCTCAGGATCTATACCTATCAAGGCTGTAAATGCAGTGCAGCTGTAATAATTTAGAATCATTTTGCAACAGTGCTAATTCCTCAACTGGGAATACCAGAGCAATCAAAATGCCAGGGTACATTTTGCTTTAAATGTCTTGTGTCCCCCTGGAAACACTGATATTTAACCATAATAACTATTTTTAGATTGAAATCTTATCATTTGGCACTTTTATTAACACAAAAGCCTGACAATGCCATTACATTTTAATTTTACAGTATCAATATTGCAATTGTTAAGATACTTAAAACCAAATTGACATGACTCACTGCATGTGTTAAGTCCTTGCTAATTAAATATACCATGTCACACTTACTGGCCAAGATAAAACAGCCCAGCAAGGGAAAATGACCTATCATTATTTGTTGTATTTTGAGAGAAAATTTTAACTGTTTGAATATAGATTATGACTCAAAAACTAACCACCCACCTCTCCCAGATTTAAGTGCATGCATGACAGCCTGACAACAGAGAAATCCCTTAAAGTTGTATTGTCAGCAAACATTAGTTGAAAACCCTTCAAATTTGAGTGATTTAGCCAAAAAACAAATTTGAGAGTTTACAGTGTTTGCAAGTTTGCTGGTGTGTTACATAGTTTATCACTTACAATAAATCCTGTTATGCATTGATGTTTAAATTCTGTGTCACGTATATGTGCAAAAACCGGTAACCTAGAAATGCTGTAATGTTCGATGTTCTGAGTTCGCTCAGACACAATAGTAAGATGAGTAAAATAATCATGCTATAAATTCAGAAGGGATGGAACTAACAACAATACAGAAGAAAGAGAGTATGGTGTGCATCTCAGACTAATGTTCAATAAATTCACTGACTTGATCACAACCAAACTACTGAACTTCTCGGTGATGTCCCCTTTATTGGAAATGCAGATATTTTGCCAATATTGTAGCTGTTTTATTTATTATAGTACACGTATTGTTTAACATACTGTTTAGTTTCAAACTAAATATCTCCTGTTATTTTTAAAAGTTTCGTCTGAAGCATAAAACGTGAATTAGAGGAACTTGGGTAATTACAATACAATATAAAATGGCCAAGAGCCTGATATATCAATTACTGACATTTTAAATCATATCTATTTCGGTAGACAGTGGAGGTTGAAATATAATACCACCACAACATACGGAGGCACACGGGAGTTTTTCCTCCAGATCACGCAACTGAAAAAGAACCGGCTGTTGACGTAGTGGAAATGATCTTATTATTGCGTCTGCCACATGCGTGCTGTTCACAATTCTGTTTATAAATTAAAGCTATTTGATTATTACGATGTGCAAATCGTTTTTAATCGTCACCTTACACTGACTTCAAGATGAATCAATGTTAAATCTGAATTTAACTGCTAAGAGTGTCCTACGGACGTCTAAGATTGACATGAACCGAACGACGAGAACTTTTACTTTTTTGTAAATTGACCGGGAACAAATCTCAAATTTCTAAAATTTAAAGTATGAGATATATACACTAGTCACTAAAAGCCAACCAATTTACATGAATCAAATCACGCATGAACAACTATGTTTATTATCTCTCATATTCCTAGCGTACTGGGTTACAGTACAACTTTGCGACGCAAATGGCAAACCCCAATAGCCCTGACGCAGTTCAAATTGATCAAACGGGCGGTCAAATATTAATAATGGCGCGCAAGAGAATGCGATCAATTTGGATGTACATTTTGTACACTGTACAAAAAAATCCATGATTATATAATTTAATTACTCGAAATCTTCGTTACCAAGTAAAATCGAAGATCCTGCAGTATAAATTAAACGACGACTATCATCGCTGACTGAAAACATTATCCCCGACAAGGTGACGATACCGAGATCAAGTACTACTTTATCATCGAAGCTGTCGAGAATCCACACCAGATAACACTTATAACAAACTTTAAAACGGCTCCCAGAATTACGCTGACAATAGCAGGACTTATTATTATTATTTAAGCCATCCACGCTGTGCTGTTGCACCAACATGATGACTGGCGGACGATCGGCTTTACAGGATCATTTTACCGCTATGGGCCTCGGATGTCTGCTAGCGATTATATCGATCTAGTCCCTTCCGAACCTCGTGAACTCTGTATCCCGACCACAAGTACGTCTTTCTAAAAATTATGAATGAAAGTTACCCTCTGTGTGCCCCAGTTTACCGAAACAACTATCTTTACGTTACTAGGATTACTATAACGCAGATTTTTACATGATAATGTAAACAGATAAATTCAATATTTCACGGAAATACTCGATTTGAGACGACACTACCAAAAAACCCAAACATGACAGAATGCGTAAATAATTCTAAAAAATATATAGAACAATTTGCAACTCACCGAGCTAGATTGTCCCTGGTTACTAACTTCTGACATGATGAAGAAAACTTTGCGAAATAACTGGACAAAACAAGAAAAAAAGGAACAATCCGATAAAAGACACACCAAGTAACCAAGCTGACACCACTCTCTCCGGACCCACTCACATGTTATGAAGTTTTAGGGAAGCAAATAACGCACATACCATTCATTCCAGGGGAAGGTCAAAGATCATTCAGAAAACTACACGATCATCTCATCCGGAGGCAAAACTATGTCATTACTTTAGCGCTATATTTAAACTTAGAATACGAAGCTAGATAACTCTTCACTTTATTTTTCCGCTTCAAATAAAATGCGTCCAACTTTGCGAACGCGCATTTTAGCTCACCACCCCTTACAATAGTGAGTTGGCCCTGAGCCAAAAAATCGTTGATATGATTCGTGGGATTGCCTATGAATCACGCCGAGTGGGGCGTGCATAAATCAGTAAACTTGTTCATAAATCCCGTGATAAATACGGTGTCATTCTACCAATAATATTTACTACTTAATATTTACTACTTAAACTGTCTGCGTTTGGAAATTGAAGTAATGATAGGTAGGTAAGTGGGCCACTTAAAAAAGTGCAGTATTTGTTTATAACGTAATACTTGTAAGCTATTACAGGTAACAACAACGCAATTTGATTAAAATCCGATTTAGGTATAGGCTCTTTTTTTAATTTTTTTTTTTCATTGATATTTTTTGTTTATTTACTAATATTTTTTGGTTTTACTTACAGCGAGCGCAAGATATTTACATACACCTAACTCCCCCCACCCGGTAGGTAATTACCGAGGGACTTTGCAACATCCCCAGACACATTCCTAGACACTCCAGTGACCGTTGTAAACGCAATAAAGTTACATACTGTATATGACGTGCTAACCAGTTCTTCCTGTATTGATTTTTGTTTGTCTGTTTTGTTTTGTTTTGTTTTTGTTACGGAAGCATCCCACCCTACACTCACAAACACATGGCGTCATGGTTTTAAAAACGATTAGAAAAAGTTCTGGAAAAAGCTTGTAATGAGATTTTGTTGTTTTTTGTGTTGTATTTAGCTGTACCATGCTTATAATGTGTTGTCATGCAATAAGTTGTATTGTAACATGTGGAAGGGGTCGCTGACGGTGGCAACTGCATGTTTTGTTAAACCTACACGACGCAGTTTCCAAGGCACCAATAAAAAGTGAGTGTGCACTGACTATCACAGTCCATATATCTGATAGACGGACTGTGCGACTGTGATGCTACTGTCTGACACTAATACAGCCATAAAAGAAACCAATATCCCATATACAATCATATCAAATCAAATGAAAACTAATCAAAAGTCATATCCTTGCAAAACAACAAAAGAATTCCCGAGTATGTAGCCCTACAGTCATCATGCGACGACTGCATAAAAAAAGTGTTCTAATATTTCTCACTGGTAAACCGTCCATACGGTCCATATCTGATAAAATATGATGCGTATCACGCTTCTAAGGGACGGACGATCATGGAGCGTAGTCGGAAGACTTGTTGAAGAAAAAAATCCAAGCCAGGCACGAAGGGAAAAATTGCATGCAAAGTATTACAACAACAAAAAAACAATTTGGCACATGCAAGAAAAAAAAATTCAGATAAGACACTGAGAACAAATTCGCATTGATACAACTCTTCCACCCCATGATTTCAAATAATTTACCCTTAACTGCGTGTACACTCGACTCACTGTATGTCGGAGCCATCGGGGTCATAAACCGGCGACCGGAACCTCTCCTACATCATATCACAATCAGAATCAATGCGTACCCGATAAAACAATCAGAGGTCATTCGTGGCGAAAACAACTTGCGATAAAAGGTCGTAGGAATAACAGTGGTTGGGGATAATAAAACAATGATAAGTTATATCTCAGACAATACAA